TATATATATATATATATATATATATATATATATATATATATATATATATATATATATATATATATATATATATATAACTACATATACCGGGTGTCTCAAAAAAAAGTATCGGTATTTGATTTGTTATGCTGTTAAAACTGGACATGGAGTTTCAATCAAATAGACTTCATTGGATTCAGAAAGCCTAACTTAAATATATTTGAGCAATATTGAATGAAATACTACAGTTTCATTTCGAAGAAGCAATTTTGAAAATGCTTAAAATTAGCCTACATTAAATCGGCCTATCAAATTAACATTTAATTTAATGCTATTCTTGTCAACACAACGCACGATAAATAATATTTACACATTCGATGATTTATTCATCTGAAAAAGCATGTCTTTGAACACCTATACAACGTCGTGCTCTGTTAACCTTGCCAGAAAAAGCGCTTTGTATCATTTGTGCATCTAAACTTTGGCACGCTAAGATAACTGCCTGGCGGAGCTGTCTCAAATTCCTAGCCTGCTGCTGAATGCGGGACGTTCCAGATTTGTTTCTTCTATTCGAACTTTTGCATTCGAATTTTTCATTTCCCACAAGGCCCAAAGGTCAAAATATTTTATGTAAACCATAAAATAATACAAGATTGAAGCTAATTTCTTTGAATACTCCCGAAAAAATAGCAAATGTCTTCAAAACAATTTAATAAGCCGTTTTAGTCGATTTTTTCGCCAATTTTCCAATCGAACTTTGACTAAAAACATTTATATCTCGCCCAATATAAAATGAAATATCTAGCACTGTATACCAAATTTAGGTTAGCATTTTCTTAATACTACAAACTTATTTGAAAGTCATACCTGGTATATAGTTTTTACATTATGTTAAATCAAACACCGATACTGTTTTTTGAGACACCCGGTATATATATATAACTACAGACGGTACCGTTTCGGCCTTTTGGGCCTCATCAGTGTAGTGCTGATAAGCAGGATGAAAGTAACCACTATAAATAGTTACCTTTGATGTCTCAAGAATGTGGGACATCAAACCATTGCCAAGAGTGCTCAAACTGCGTAAGCAGCAATGGCTCATCCTGTAGAGTGCTCAATATGACACAAAGGCCATAGAGCAATTAATATTAATTGGTTAACAGTAGAATCACCTGGTCGAAATCCCGATTGAAATGGATTTAGGAAGTTTATATCCAATAAAAAATTATAAAGCCTTATAAAGACAATTTTTTCAGAAATCTTTGACAAACAAGCTAGCAACGAAACAGGGCGATAATTTACTTTACTGTGACGATCATCCTTTTTAAATATTGGAATAACATTTGCAAACTTCCACAAGGAAGAATAAACTATAGGTAAGATTACAAATACTTCTGAATGTACTTACACAAAGTACTTGACGGTGTTGGTGTTATGGTAAAATCAATCGTGTCTACTAACTGGCTTGAAATGGTTCCAATAACCTTTGTGAAAACTGGTGTTGACATCACTGAAAAGAAATATCAAGCATTATATTGCATAATCTCAAACAGTGTGGGTATAGTGACGATAATAAGAAAGCTGCAAATTTATAGAGATACAATTACCAGAGAAATACAAACGGAACTCCAACGTTTCAAGCGAAGGCCCTTCGTCGGTCGGGAAATTAGTGGCGGGAGTCGGGAAAATTACATGAGCTTTTATACTAGTGAATATAAAAGCAATCGCGTGAGAAAAAATAAACCAATCAGGTGGATTTAGTCGAAACAGAGCGTAGATAAAAAATGTAAATCACATTACCGAATATATTGAAACAAATATCCGAGCAACATATCCATATATAGCTTTAAACAACTCATTAATAATTCATGAGGAAAATACAAAGGAAATCACTGCCGTGTTGATGGTTTTATATGTGATGAAAAATCATGTTTATTCACATAAACTTTAGTTTTGATTTTCTCGGCTTAAACAATGTTTATTTTTAAAATTACGTCGCCAATGAACTCATCAGACGGGTAGTTTTTTAAGCTATTTAAAAGATTCGCAGTCCATGCTTATCAGAAGCTGACGCTCTCCTGTTTTATATCTGATAAAGCACTCATGCTCGTGTTTTAAATAGTACATAACCTCCCGTAACCCTGAAGTAGTTCTCGTGCTAGGCCTTTCCGTCGCTGCACGAGTGTAAAAATTGGGATAGCAATTTATGTACTATTTAAAGCACGAGTAGGAGTGTTTTATATGTGATAAAACACGACTACGAGTGCTTTAAATGGCTTAAAAAACGACCCATCGTCTGATGAGTACATTAGCGAAGTAATTTTTAAAATAAACTTTGTCTAAACCGGGAAAATCAAAGCTAAAGTTTATGTAAATTAATTTTTTTATCACATATAAAACCACTACACGCTTATGATTTTTCTTTGTGTTTTCCTCCTAAATTATTAATAAGTGTTTTATATATCCATCAAAAATTTTGACTATTGCAAATACAAGATCTTGCAAAATTAAACATTTGACACCGCTCAATTTAAAATCCTTCATTTGATAACTTTATATTAAATTATTTATGGAGTATGTGTACACGAACAAATATAATCCAAATGCTTTTATGGTATCTATACTACAAACTTGGACAAAACTGGTTGAGATCCAGTGTAATATTCATGTTATAACAATATATTCTGTAGCTATATGTCCATTAAATCATGGATTTATTTTGATGTAACCCCCACTCCCCCAGTCCAATGTTGCCAGTATTTGATAGCCACATAACCCAAGTACATGTTTCATTCAATCAATATTGAATCGGGGGGGGGGGAAGCTATGGAAATTTAAACACTCATGAATATGACATTTGATCTCATAGTTGTCTTGTAGCTCTCAACACTGCTTTAGTGTTGTGAAAGAATTGATAAATATGCTCGTTGATCTTGAAGGTGGCACTGAAAAGAAATATCAAGCGTTGATTTGGTAAGTAGATGAAACTCGAACATTACGGGAGACCTAAAAGGTCAAGGCTTATATTTTAGCTATAATTCGAGATCTTTGGTTTATAAGTATTCTAAATTAATTCACTGAAGGGCTTGAATCCGGTTCTTCCATTAATTTATTGTACGATCATCCAGATAAAATTTTTTAATTGTTTCTGACGTTTTGGCTACGGTTTTATCTTTTGGCTATGGTTTTATCAACGACGTATTACAGTTACAAATTTACAGTTATATTAATAAAATAAATTTTATCTTGCGTCAAAATGACGTGCGCGTGATCGTGAGTTCGTTTGCTCGACACCTATAATGGCTGGCGTAATAATGGCTGCCGTATAGGTAGCCGAAACGTCAGAAACAATTAAAAATTTTAATGTGGACGATCGTACAATAAATAAAGTATTCTAAAATTTGATACAGAGAAACTTTGAGTAGGATTGTCCCTCAAAATGGTGAAGTCAAAGTGTAAAGGATTGCCCCGAAACCTCACACTTAAAATCGTAGTTACTAAAACGTGGAACGATCCACAACCAGCCACAACGACCCCACAACAAGTTACAACAAGTCACACCGACCCTACAACCAGCCACAACGATCCCACAACGAGCCACAGCCAGCCACAACAAGTCACAATGACCTCCACAGCGATCCACAACCAGCCACAACGACCCCACAACATGCCACATCCAGCAACAACGAGTCACAATGACCCCACAACGATCCACAACCAGCCACAACGACCCCACAACAAGTCACAACCAGCAACAACGAGTCACAATGACCCCACAACGGCTCCACAACAAGCCACAACCAGCCACAACGACCACACAACGATTCGCAACCAGCCACAACAAACCCACAACGATTCACAACCAGCCACACGACCCCACAACAAGCAACAACCGACCGCACGACGATTCACAACAACCCCACAACGAGTCACAACGACTGCACAACGATCCCCAACAATCCACAATGAGCCACAACGACCCCACAACCATCCACGACGACCCCACAACCAGCCACAACGATTCACAACCAGCCACAGCGACCCCACAACGATTCACAACCAGCCACAACGACCCCACAACAGGAAGCCACAATGAGCACACAACGATTCACAACCAGGCACAACGAGTCACAACGACCCCACAACAAGTCACAACGATCCACAACCAGCCACAACAACCCTACAACGAGTCACAACGATCCACAATTAACCAGCCACAACGAGACCACAACGATCTACAACAATCCAACAACAACACGCAAGGAAACACAACTCTCCAAAATGCCTTCAAATTCCGTCATGCTCAGTTGGGTATACAAGTATGGCAGTATACAGTTCAGCAGTTTGTCATGGGTTGTTTTGGGGTTGTTAGCGTCTCGTTCTCGATCGTTGTGGGATCATTGTTGCCTCGTTGTGTCTCCTTGCGAGTTGTTGTTGGATTGTTGTGGCTGGTTGTGGATCGTTGTGGATCGTTGTGGCTCGTTCCATAGTAACTACGCACTTTAAATTAAATATATGTTTGATATGTTTTCAGTTTTTTTATTTCAACGGATCCACTACCCCAAAATTCGGTGAAAAGTGAAAAAAATTTAAAACACCTCAACTTAACTGTCTGACAATTGGTAGTTTTGTGGCTAAAGCCAGTGCTGTAACTTCCTTATAAATAACGAAATTACAAGCAATTGTAACTTTTTCAAGTAAATGTAACGGTAACTAGTACGTTTTCAAAAGAAGTAAATGTAACTACAGCGCGTTACCTTTCTGACCAGCATTCACTTTTTTCGTACATTTTCACGTTAAAATATAGTACTTGCTATTTTTTATACCATCATTTTTATTATATAACTTTGAAGTCAATTCACTGTATTTTACTTGGGTGGATTTTTGAACTTTTTTGTGTAGTTTTTCGAGTTAAGAAATAAACTCGTTTAGACCGTAGTCACGGCGGTATCGTAAGAAACAGCCTCCTGCAGCCAATCAGATTGCAGGAAATAAAAATATCACTATTAGCATGCGCAAATAAAAAATAATGTACATTATTTTTGCATACTTACAGAAATTACTTGGGTCTGTTGGCGTTATGGTAGAATTGATAACCGTGCTCGTTAGCTGGGTCCGCGATAGGCCTAGAGACTCCGCAAAAGGGAGAGTTCGCAACACTGAAAAAATCAAGCGTTAGATTTCATACTAAGTAGATAAAAATCGAATATTACGGAAGAATTATAAGATCGAGGCTGTTTTTCAACATGTGTAACTAAAAAATTAGTGAAGATTCTTGCTAATTGATTATCGTATTGACAAAAGAGCAATTACAACAGATATGCGACGGTGAAGCCGGTCAAGCGTTATTTTGCTTTGAAAATCACGTAGGCAAGCTCAAAACTGCGACACTGTAGAAGCCCAAAGTACTTCGAATTCACAGTTCACTACTATAATTTGATAATATTGGTTAAGGCAATGGCAGCTAGTGCCACGTAAAAAACAGGAAATATATTTCAACCTTGCCGCAATGATAATATAGCCAGCTGAGCATGCAATTATTAGTATTTACCATAATTTCAGTATTGAAAACTGGCCTTTTAGCATTCTGATTGGCTCCCTCAGCAGTAACTCTAGGTCCAGGTCTCTAGACTTTAAGGTTTGCAAAAGACAACCCTTTTTTAATTGGCTGTATATGATGCTTCGGCAAGTTTAATTGATTTGCTATGTTTCGAACTCATATATACTTCGTGAAAGATTATAAGTTATAACAATTCTTCGGAAAGAGGTGTTCCGTATTGTGACTTGTAATATTAACTATATTTCAAACTATGTACTTACCCGAAGACAAGCTCAAAGAACGTGTAGGTTTTGGTACAATGGTAGTCGGTGACAATGGGGTAAACAGAGTCGACTGACTGGAATCACTCGAATTACCTATTTAAAGATTTTAAACAATGGTATGAAAATTTCCCTGGTGTCATTTATGCGGATTTAAATCAAAGTAGCAATAACAGATTTTCCTGCAGCCTAATAACAGATTATTCCGTAAATACATACACGCCATTAAACTGCTACACGCCTACGCGCAATTTAACTGCGCAATGTTCAGCACTCATGAAGTACGCCATAATTAGTGGATATTTCCGCTGATCTTCTCGATAAAAACAATTAAAGGAACAGACGGAACGCAAACGTCGACAAGAGGCTGAATTTATTAATGTCCAGCATCCAGAAATTTATGAACCATGTTGCATGTACACGTTCGTTATCGTTGTCTAAATCAGCAGAACTTGCGTGGTAATGCCATCCAAATTTACCTAACCTACAGGCACACGCCCCTTGAAAGCGTTCAAAATGGCGGACGCTCAGGGGGATGAATGCTTCTCGACCATGAGCGCATTGGTTAGGAACATCGCGAGCGCATGTCGATGGCAAATAATTGTAAATCATGGCGGTTTGGCGGCGGCTACGGGTTTTTGGATGAGACGGATCTACACTGTGACTGTAGCTTACCTCAAAAAATAATAAGTTAAATTGGATTTGTTTATAATTGAAAATATTGGGCTTTTATAGTCCACAGAGTGGATGCGCAAATTTCATTCCACGCTCAGTCATAACATATTATTGTCAAGCTCGGTCCCAGGCTCTTACCTCTTGTGGAGGAAAGACCCTGTTAGGAGCTGCTCACGTGATCTGCTAAAATCTAGCAAGTTTCTAATTAACTATCTTGGATTCCTCTAGAATCAAATCAAACTTGCAAAACAAAATGAAAGTTATAAATTAAAGTATAAATATCAAATATTCATCAACATCATCATTATCTCACGTGACCAGCTCCTACCAGGGTCTTGCCTCAACAAAAGGTAAGAGCCTGAGAACGAGGTTATATTAAAGTATCCATATTTGGCGTTGCAATGTGACAGTAAATGAAAGTCCGATTCATACAAACCATCAAGGTAAGTATACATATCATTTACTTACATTTCAATTCAATAGATTTTGCAGCAACGTAATCAGATCCGTCCCTGGAGGTTTCGCATGTATAAATCCCTGTATCGTTGCAGTAGAATTCTTTGAAAGAGAGATCACTTTCGGCAGAAGTAAGCCCTAATTTTAGTCTTTCCTGATACACCCTGGTATTTAGAGAAGAGTTTGAGAATTCCAAAATTTCAACTCCATTTCTTTTCCAAGTCACTCGTACGTTAGGATACCCTGCACCAAAACAGCGAATGTCAACATCCTTTTCTCCATTGTACAATTCAACATAATCATTCGGTGTATAGATAAAAGTATTAAGAGGATCTACAAAAATCACAATTAACATGATCGATAATTATACCCAAAAGTAACAACTGATATAATAAAAATAGTATAACACATAAAACATTTCATCTATTGCTTATATTGACTTCAAAACATTTCAGTGAAATAATTATTAAGTTGACATTGAGGAGAATTTGTATTCTAGATCTACAATACATTGTACAATCTACAGGGGCGCAAATGTAGTGGGGTAGGAGTGGGGTGTGACACCCCTTCCCCCCCCCCCCAAAGTTTAAACAGAATGATATGATACTCAAGTATATTTTGCCTAGTGTTGGGCTGTTGCTGGGCAAAGCAGTTGATGTTATCTGAGGTAAAGATGAAAATAAAACGACAAAACACAACACAACAAGCAAGCAAGAACCCAAAACCAACGGGGCCGAATAAAAATCTGACACGAACATGATCTTTGATTGATTGCTAAAATAAAAGTGATGATCGGTTTATGTTTCTGACTTCTTTTTTAGAAAGACATTTCCATAATTTCATCCCTTTTTACTTTTTTTATATTATCGATCAATTGTAGAATCTGTATAATCCACCATGCCTAACATTTAGTTGTGCCGCGCCAAAATTGTTGCAGTGTTAATAAACAGTGATTGGTGATGAAGTTTTTGTGACATCCAGAATTATCAAGGTGGAAGTAAGTGTTATTAGTCGAGCCGAAGACGATGGCATTTCATTAACTCTTTCGACAAACAATGATCCAGTGTGGCACAAAACAACGTTTGGTTCTCAAAAAAAGCCGTGGCAACGATTTAAATATTGCGATAATAGCATAAAATAATAGAAAATGCCTACTTTTTCCACAAAAACATTGACCAAAATGCCGTTCGTACATGTTGTTTTTCTTGTTTTTATTCGTGAATTTAAAACTGCCGCGCTTGTTATAAAATTACATACCGCTGGCTTAACGTACACATAACTCAGTTATCTGCTAGCAAATAACTATGTTATGTGTAGGTTTCGCGATTGACATATTCAGTTAGCTGTAAGCTATTGGCCAATTAGAGGACACGTAGTAACTTAGTTGTAAAAGCAATTTGGTTGGCTAAGAGCTTACAGTTAAATCGCGCAATCACGCAATCTACACAAAATTCAGTTATTTACTAGCAGATAACTGAGTGATCTGCAAATGAGCCTGCGATGATTAGCAAGCGGTATCTATTTAACACAAACAAATGTATAATAAAACAATTATTGAATTCTGTCCCTGCGATATGCAAAATTATCAAGGTCTCGGTAAGCGTTATCAGCCTCGCCTTCGGTTTGGCTGATAACGCCTATACCTCGAGCTTGATCATTCCGCATATCACAAAAACCTTATCCAATAATTTTTAATAATACTCTCTGAGTGCTCAGTCAGTTTTTCGGTCCGAAATAAAATTTCAATAACTACAGAGTGAAAGATAAAAACCTTACATGTCAAGTTGAGTACAAAAGGTGCATTCACATAAGACACTTTGTTTCTTGCGTGGCAGTAATACGTTCCAACGTCGTCAGATGCTGCCCTCGTGATAATAAGAGTTCTGTTGTTATCTTGAAACTCGATGTTGTAACCTTGTATATAGCGCCCGTTTTTAGTCCACCAAACATTAGGGGAAGGATTTCCCTGAACTACACACTTTAAATAGATGTCGTCAAAAAGTGTGTTGGAACTTGCTGTTACGTCCACGATTCTTGGATTTACTAAAGGAAAATAAAGCCCGGTTCAAATGAGAGACAGAGTTGGTGAAAGTTGAGTAGAAAGAGTTTGCATGAAAGTTTTCTCATTAAACTCTCAACAACGCAAAAAGCTTATGCAAATCAAGAAAATTTTGTGTGTATGGTGATACAACGCCATTGATTTCTTTTGAATTCCCCTCAAATGTGTTTCACATTAAATTATACAGAGACTCATCTTTATCGGCTAGGACATGTCATGTCAAGTCAGATTTTTCGGGCATGCATGCCAGGGGTTTGCGTTAGTATTTCAACAGTTTAGATAAGATTACGAATATTTGAAATGTACTTACACAAAGTAGTTGGTGTTATTGGCCATGGCGGGGTCGTACCGTAAACTGCTGTCTTCACTGAAGAGGAATATGCAACATTAGATTATAGATACATAAGTAAAAGAAAATTAAATATTACAGAGGATTATATAAGATCAACGTTTTCTTCAAAGATTTGCTTCAAAATTTCTGTTTTTAAAGTATTCTTCTGGAAAATGTCATTAACGAATAACGTGATATTGAAAGGTTTAGATTTCAGTAGGTCGAAACTTAGTTGAAACTAGTTGACTATTTCTTTTGAATTCCCCTCATGAACTGTTAATGAGTTTCACACTAAACTACACCGAGGCGTTTATAACATTTTTATCGGCTAAAGCAAGGGGTTTGCGTTAGTATTTTAATAGTTTGGATAAGATTACGAATACCTTGAAATGTACTTACACAAAGTAGTTGGCATTGTGATAGCCTTGCCCGTTGGCCATGGCGAGGTCGTACCGTAAACTGCTGTCTTCACTGAAGAGGAATATCCAACATTAGATTATAGATTATATATTAGTAAAAGAAAATCAAATATTACAGAGAATTATATAAGGGCTATAAGGTCAACGTTTTCTTCAATGATTTACTTCAAAATTTCTGTTTTTAAAGTATTCTTCTGAAATATGTCATTAACGAATAACACGTGATATTGTCAGGGTTAGATTTCAGTAGGTCGAAACTTAGTTGAAACTTGTTGAAACTAGTTGAAACTTGTCATTTGAGTAGATGAAAAGCAATTAAAAAAATAAAAATTAAAACGAGTCAATAAAGCCGTGGTCAAACGGGAATGAGAGTTGAGAAGTGAAAGTTTGCATGAGGGTTTCCTCAACTCTCACGCCTCAGTCATACGAGAACAAGAGTTATATATGAGAGTTGATGAGAGGTTGACTGGGTATTACCTCTCAAGTCCTGCAGATCAAACGAATATGCATGAGAGCCTGATGGCAGGCACGAGACATTGCTTTGCTGTTCTTAATGCCTTTCCAACATTATGAATCATGCATGTATATTCAATTTAAATAGAAACGTAATTAGAGCGCTCGTCAAACCTTCATTTTGGTAATCTAGAGCTCGAAATGTCATTAGTAACTATGCGTGCATGACCGTCAACTCTCATCAGTTCTCCAGGATCACGGACGATCGCCAAGCAAGGGTAGGTTAACTACAAATTTTTTGTAGTTCGCTATAACTACAGCTACTTCAAAAATATGTAGTCAGCTACAACTACTACTGCTACTTTTGAACAAAGGTAGTTCGCTACTGACTACAACCACTGTTTAAAAAATGTAGCGAACTATTTCGCTATTTCGCTACGCTATATTTGTTAGTTTTACTCTATTTGGAGCATCTACTAACTCAGGCTGAAATATAACCTATAACAAATCGACTTACGAGTAGCAACAGTAAACACAAAGCAACATTTTTGTAAGCACTACAGTGATCAAGAGTGCAAATTGACTATTGAGTATTGATTGGTCTTCTACATTAACTATGTTTTAAGCAAACCGTGTTTCAATATCATGTTATTCTATCAAGTTGCTAACAATTTTAAAAAGTGACGAATAGCGATTTGCTGTTTGAAAAGTAGTCAACTACTTGGCTACTTTTAGGCAAAATGTAGTTCGCTATAACTACAGCTACTGTTTTAAAAAAGTAGTCAAAAACCACTGGCTACTTGAAAATTGTAGTTCGCTACAGTAGCGAACTACAACTGCTTCTCATGATCGCTACTACCCACCCTTGACGATCGCTGAGATCAACTCAACCAGTTCAGAGTTGACGAGAGTCGATCAGAGTTCGTCAGCTCTCTCGTTTGAACAAGGCAAAACGGAAATAATAGTTACAACTTTACCGTTGTCGCAATGGTCTCGTTTTCACGTGGGTTAATTCCACAATGTTTCGTGCACAAGTAGGTTTAACGTGTACCCCTGTGGTTGGGCTCAAAATCAAAAAGAACTTTTTTGGACGAAACATCGGGATATAACCTTTATGTGCCAACCAGGCCAAAAGTGCAATAAATAGTCAAGTCTATCTATGTACTTCAATATGATCAGAAACGAACTTTCTCTAAGTCTCATTTAAATGTAATAATTTTCTTTTTAGTAACGACCAGAAGGCTTTTTTTTTCTTTTTTTTTTTAATTTTTTTCTTTTCTTTTTTTTTCCTTTTAGATGCACTAACTTTATCTATGTAATTACTGTATAGGTGCCCCATTATGGGGGTATTGGAATGAAAAAGTCATACATTGGAATTTTCAAAATCCTTACTATGGAAGTAGCATGGATCTTTGTTGGAAATAATGTGGAAATATAAATACTAATTTAATATGCCGGATATTTAGTAATGTGAATTGCAAACATTTCACTATTTTTTCCAATGATAGCGATATGAAATACTGAAGAGTAGAATTTAGGGACATGGGACACTGGGACGCTCCCGCTTGGAAATGACGTCATAGATTTTGTCATAATGGGAAAAGCGAGGTTACTAATTCCGCCCGGGGAAAGGAAGGCGTATTAGCGAAGTCTAAAGTTCATCAATAATCGATGTATGGGTGGCCATCTCACTGATCTCAAAATATGGCTGTTTACCAGGAGTGAAGGAGGCAAAAACATAAAAAAACATGTATGAAAGCTTGGAAAATCGTTTCACATAACAAATTGTAAAACTTTTTTTCAATTTTTAAACGTAAACATTAATTAAGAATTAGTAATATGAGAAATCCTAGAGTATAAGCCAAGTTTGTTTCAATTAGCCTTTCTCACGCCGCCATTTTTTGGGTACCGTGTAATTTTTCGTAAACGATTATAACAATGTGAAAAGCAGTATTTCAGAACAAACTAACTATTTACAGAGTAAATTTACCATCATACACCCACAAAATTATAAAATGTCGCCGTAATGTGGTGTTACGCTCGCAGGATTGGCAAAACGGTACCCCAAAAATGGCGGCGTGAGAAAGGCTAATTGTTATGACTTTAAATTAAGTTTGTAGAAGTTCATGATAAACGGAAAGAAAGCAAATTATTTTCATTAGCGTCCTGTACGAATTAAATTTATTTCATTTCAAAGTGCGAGTAATAAGTTGCAGCTCGAGTTGAAGAGCTTATCGGCAAAAAGCAGTTTATTTCAATTCACATTTGAAAATGTTTTACGAAGAGTTTCGTGTTGAATTTTACAGTAAAATAAAGCCCAAATAGAAAGCCAAATAATATAGCTACTTTATATATTTTAGAAATTGATAGTTCGGTATTTAAAAGTGTTTTATTTATTTTTTGCAGTTTTGTACAAAAAATTTAAAAAACAATTATCGTGTTGCCGCCCGATGCATGGCTAACATGACGTAAGCATTTAATGTATATTTGTAAAATATGATATACTAACTGAATATCTAACACTTTTCTGGTTCGCTATGCTTGTAAATGAATATAAACTCTACGTTTCAATTCAAAAAAGTTCGAAAGATGCAAAATTTGGGCAATGTTTACATCTGCGGGTCCCCCTTTGTTATGAGCAGAACTGATGCGCAGAACGGACTTTACAGCATCTTTAAATGCAATTTAAACACCAATAAACTACGCCATTATTCATACTTTAATATGCGCTTTTCGTTCTGTGTGTGACCTGTAACCATGAAATAAGTTGTTTGAATAAAGCAAATCAAAATGAAGTTTCCCAGCAGTTGCCCGAATTTCCGTGGTTTTCTAAAGTTGTTTTTTTTGCGGCTGGGAGCAGTTGCCCCGCCCCTTGCCTCCCTGTCCCGTATGCTTACATCCTCGGTTCCAGGGCCGCATGGCTGACACTGCGTCGGCAACGCAGTGTCAGCCGTGAGGCCCTGGGACCGAGGATGATGCTTATGGTGATTTTAATATTTATAGGGCTTGAAGTGAAGGGGTAGCTCAGTATGTCGGATAAGCAGTCAGCTGTCACGCAAGCTGCAGGTCGACGGAACTGAGCAATCATGCTGAGATGTTTACACGATTTCGAATCATATCTAAAAGGTTTTGTTTATTCTGCCGACATTTTTCTTGATATATATTTCTTTTATTTTTCAACCCTTTATAAGAGTATGTCTTGTGAGGAAAGCGCCAAACCCGCTCAGATTTATGCGTGACCGAACCTTCATTAAATAGTATTCGATATGTATCCGAATTTGCGTTGTAATTTGCGGCAAAATGCTTCATACAAAAAATGCAAATGCTATGAAATAACTTTTATTTCTATGGCACACTGTTCACAGACAATGAGACAGTATCATGTCGTAACAGTTGACGTAAGATAAAACTTCGGCTGGGGGATACAAAATGACCATATGCTTACACCGGCAATTATACTATTGTCTTTGTTGCTACAGGCTACTGTAATTCGGAATTTCTACTACACATTCGGGGATAAATCACATGCAGCTGTGAGTTGCCTGAAGTGAACTATAACATGGATAGCTAAGACTTGAAGTGGAAGAATTAAAATGCGCATATATCAAAAATATTTAGCGATTCAATCATTATTTGCGTTTCATTTCTAGAAATAATACGGCAATTTTTTGTACCAGCATATTCCTAGTTGTCTTCTTGGTATAGCAAAATAAAGAATCAACCGTATGGAAACTAATTGTTTCTTTGAGCAACTTTTGCACCATTCAAATGATGATCGGAACAGTTGAATACGGTCTGTGCTTTTAGGAAGTTGTATCCCTATGACCCTATCAATGCGCTAAGCGTCGGATAATCCGTCATTTGGTGCAGGACAGTAACTGAGTGAAAATTAAGAATTGGCTTAGGCTCCAGTAACTTACTCGATACTGGATTCGTATCGGAGCGACATCAAATTTTACTGCTTCGAGGTGAATTTGGCACTTAAAACTATGATAATACAATATATTTAAACAAAAACTTCAAATATGAAAAGTTGTAAGAGCAGACAAGACTGGAAAACACTTTAAATTGACGTCGCCCCGATACGAATCCAGTGTAACTGGGGCCTTATATAGTATACATCTATAAACGGAATATATACAAACAGTCAAGTTACACATCACGTCTAGTTCTTTTTGAAGCAGATTAGAAACGCGATTTTTATTTCCTTCTTCTGTCTCCATAGGCGGAAATAGCGAATTCCAAGATTCGTCTTTTGATATATAAAAGCGCGTTTATAACAAAGTCAAACTTAGTGCTATAGTACAACGTTTTAAATGCCATACCTGCAGGAGTGGAATTTTGAGATGAAGCCAAGCACACTAGCGTCAAAATGACACAAAGTAATTTGCACCCGTACAGCTGCATTGCTCCAACGTTAAACACAGTTTCATGAAAGAAGAATATGTCTTTGCTCGTCTATCATGTGAGGTAAACATTGTGTGGGTGAAAGGTGTAATTTGACTCTTTAATATGATCATCTAATCTCATGCATATAACACGGTGAATCAACACGGTTGGAAAAGCTAATCAAGGCATTTTGAATTTGAAAAATATGGTTCTGAAATTAGTAATGTTTATAATTAAACATCGTCAAGCTGTTACGAAGCTCCGAATTTCGGTTCCTACTGATTACCATGCAGTTGAAACTGAAAACTGATCGATATAGCAATGTTCCATACCAATTACCGACCATACGATAAGTCAACATTGTCATTTGCACGAGATCGGAAATGAACAGCACTATTTAATGCGGTGCAATAATACAAGGTTTATTGATCTCAGACTCAGAGCAAAATTGATTATAAATTTGACTAAATAAATCACTCGTTTCGTTCTAATAATCATGACTTGTTTATGTATGTTAGTACAATGAAAGACAAATCCGTAGGGACTAACACATTTTGACAATTAGGCTACTAACTAATATAATTCTAATTTTTATCTGGTCTTCCTGTAAATTTAATATGTTTTGTCTTCCATATATGTGTATATGTGTAATAATAATAATAATAATAATAATAATAATAATAATAATAATTATAAATCGCGCTTATTACAAAGTGCCGGGGATTTTTTAAATATTTCAAGAATGAAGATTATAGGATAGTTTTAATTCGCTTCCGTTCTCGCTGAAATGTTTAATATTAAGTATGAAACAAGACGTGTAAGACATTACCGACTTGTTTATCAGTCTAAGAAAACCGTTCACTATATCTCCGAAGATTTCAACTGCATGTTGTTAAACAGCATTACTGGCGCCATATAATACCCGTGTGATTAGCAAAGTCAAAGAGTTAATTAAATTATATGAAAAAGAACATATTAATTATTGCATGTCTGCATGTACTCTATAGACTATAAATAAGTTAACCATCTTAGACCTAGACCTAAATACCTACTCGATTTTGGTTATTGATATAAAATGATCTGATTATTCCATACAGTTGTCCAATTGGAATACAGTATTACGATACTACTTGTCACAGTAAAATTGGTTCTGAAATTAAACATGCAGAGTTTCCCGTTTCACGAGTTTAGGTCAGTAAAATATCATCAATTGTATTTTTAGATCAACAACTTCCTTGGGATTAACCATGGGATTATCTAAGGTCATCTGTAGACAATGCATGAGTGGCCGACTGTGTTTTTTTATGAAAACAGAATGTAAATTGTTCCTAGTATTAATGTTGGACAATTATTATGCGAACTCGACTTGTCAGCCTGATAACCGAGTTGGCTACCAGTCAAATACGACGAGAGTGAGTAGAATAACTGTTTATTATATAGACAACTACTGCATTTACACTCTACAGCATAACAATACTTCGACAACACAACTTGGCCGCAGTTGGCCTAAACCTGACTGAAAACAGTGCTGCTCGTTTTCTAAATCAGCACTTCGAACATTTCTAAAACTTGAAATTTTTACACCAAGCGATAAAACTGTTATCGCCTCGCACCTCATATGGCAACCCATGCATATCGCTGTATATACAGCTAATTCTTCGCTAAGCTTTTCCTTCAAAAATCATAAACTTAAACATTGAGCGCGCAAGGGATAATGGGTAACTTTCTATTTAAAGTCTTAGCTTTGCAACATGGCTAGGGCATATAATGAACATTTTCAATGTAGGGCTATTTGGTTCACCAAGCTGATGCCCGATCAAAGGCTCCAAATACTGAAGAAATTCCCGGCACAAGCGCCTTCAATAATACTTCCACCCTGCTCGCCAAGTAACAGAAAAAAGAGTTTAGAGACTCATGTCCGGAGTCTTTAATTCAGTAAACTATATTCATTAGAAGTTACAATTCTTTATAAATATTCTTCATCTATATTACCTTGGCTTTTTAATGGTTTTGTTTACGTATAAATATGACCATGTAAAAGGACGACTATAATATATTAGGCTACAGTGGCCAGGTTTCCCAGAGGTTCAGAGGTAAATTATTAGGTTGCTGTTTCAAAAATTTTGGCAGTTTTACAAGTCAATTATATCCTATCTCATAATTTTTGAGTTTGCTTGATATGTAAATAGGATCACATATCACAATCCAAATAATATCATTGTTATTATATTCTCATGTTTCTGACAAACACGAGAGTGATGAATGATCTTTGATCCTGAACCCAATCATATACTGAAACAGCTGTGGATTAAGAGAGATACGACTACCTTAGAACTCCGAAAGTTGAGCAAGAAAGCACAATATTCAACAGTGATTCAACAACGAATTCATTGCAACCATTTGCAAAGACTAATCAGACTAATTTACAAAAGCTACATTATTGGACATGGTTGACAGTGTGATTACGTCATAAACAGGAAAACGTGGACGCGGAAGTGTGACTAAAGAAGTTGAAAGTAACAAAATGCTATATGTCAAGTGCTAGTTCAGTGTTCAGCTCTGGTTCGAGGGATTAGTTACGAATGTTGCTGGCTGCATTTAGAAGACGCTTTCTTTCTGTTTATGGTGAAATCACGCTTGTATAAATAGACCTAGGTTAGCTTTTGTAAATTAGCCAGTGATGAATTTGTAATAAATTCGAAATATCACTGTTGAATATTTTGCGCTCTAACTTGCTCTACTTAAATACTACGTTTCACTTTATTTCATGAAGCTGTTGGCTGGCAACAGATTTTGTATTTTTCATGAACAAGCTTTTGTCGGTAGGGATGCAACTACCTGAAAATATATAAGGAGAACTGCGACGTTTCGAGCGAAGACCCTTGGCTTGAAACGTCGAAATCCTTCTTATATATATTTCCAGGTAGTTGCATCTCTATACCAACGAAAGCTTCATTTGATTGGCACTACCTACTACTGACACAGATTGCTCAAGATTAAATCATAAACTCACGAACTAGCACTGCAAAAAATCCCTGAAATGAATATTTGTCTAGAGTGCACAAACAGTAACTCGAATTTTTGAGAAAAATCACGCAAATTTATATATATCAAACTTACTCAATATATTGTTTGAGTAAAGATTTTCTTTATTCAAAAAACCTTGTCATGACTTTTTTGCCAGCCCC